TGAAGAGTCTGTTCAGATCCTCTGCCCATTTTTTTAATTGGGTTATTTGCTTTTCCGATGTTGAGGCATGTGAGCTCTTTATATATTTTGGATGTTAATCCTTATTAGATGAGTCATTTACAAATATATCCTCCCATACTGTAGGTTGCCTTTTTGTCCTTTGCTGTACAAAAGCTTTTTAGTTTGACATAGTCAAGTTTGTTCATTTTCTCTTTTGTTTCCCTTGCCCGAGGAGATATATTCAGGAAAAAGCTGCTCATGTTTATAGTCAAGAGATTTTTGCCTATGTTTCCTTCTAAGAGTTTTATGATTGAATCACTTACATTCAGGTCTTTGATCCATTTCAAGTTTACTTTTGTGTATGGAGTTAAGACAGTAATCCAGTTTTGTTCTCTTACGTGTAGCTGTCCAGTTTTGCTAACACCAGTTGTTGAAGAGGCTGTCATTTCCCCACTGTATGTCCAGGGCTCCTTTATCATATATTAATTGACCATATATGGTTGGGTTTATATCTGGTTTCTCTAGTCTGTTCCATTGGTCTTTGTTCTGTTCTTGTGCCAGTACCAAATTGTCTTGATTACTGTGGCTTTGTAGTAGAGCTTGAAGTCTGGGAGTGTAATCCCTCCAGCTTTATTCTTCCTTCTCAGGATTGCTTTGGCTATTCAGGGTCTTTTGTGGTTCCATATGAATTTTAGAACTATTTATTCTAGTTCATTGAAGAAAGCTGTTGGTATTTCAAATGGGATTGCATTGAATCTGTAGATTGCTTTAAGGCAGGATAGCCATTTTGACAATATTAATTCTTCCTATCCATAAGCACAATATGTATTTCCATTTATTGGTGTCTTCTTTAATTTCTCTCATGAGTGTCTTGTAGTTTTCAGGGTATAGGTCTTTCACTTCCTTGGTTAGGTTTATTCCTAGGTATTTTATTCTTTTTGATGCAACTGTAAATGGAGTTTTCTTGATTTCTCTTTCTGCTAGTTCATTGTTAGTACAGAGAAATACAACAGATTTCTGTGTATTGATTTTGGATCCTGCAGCTTTGCTGAATTCAGTTATTAGTTCTAACAGTTTTTTGGTGGAGTCCTTAAGGGTTTTCAATGTCTATCATGTTGTCTGCAGTGACCGTTTAACTTCTTCCTCACCAACGTGGATGCCTAATATCTCTTTGTGCTGTCTGACTGCCAGTCTATGACCTCCAGTACTATGCTGAATCAAAATGATGAGAGTAGGCATCCTTGTTCTGTACCCAATTTTAGAGAAAAATCTTATAGCTTTTGCTGTTAAGTATGATGTTGCTGTGGATTTGTCATATATGGCCTTTATTATGCTGAGGTGATTACACTCTATACCCATTGTGTTTAAAGTTTTAATCATGAATAGATGTTGAATTTTGTTAAATGCTTTTTCAACATCTATTGAAATGATCATGTGGTTTTTATCCTTTTTTTAATGTGGTATATGATATTGATTGACTTTCGATTATTGTACCATCCTTGCATCCATAGAATAAATCCCACTTGGTCATGAGGATGGCCTTTTTGATGTACTTTTGAATTCAGTTTGCTAATATTTTGTTGCGGATTTCAGCATCTATGTTCATCACAGATATTGGTCCATAATTTTCCTTTTTTGTGGTGTCTTTGGTTTTGGTATTAGAGTGATGCTGGCCTCATAGAATGATCGGGCAAGTATTCCGTACTCCCCTACTTTTTGGAATATTTTAAGAAGGATGGGTATTAGCTTTTCTTTAAATGTTTGATAAAACTCAGCCATGAAGCCAGCTGGAACAGGCATTGTTTTTGTGCAGTTTTTTGATTACTAATTCAATTTCATTGCTGGTAATTGGTCTGTTCAGATTTTGTTTCTTCCTGGGTCAGTCTTGAAAAGTTTTTATTTTTTAGAAAGTTGTCCATTTCTTCTAGTTGTCCTGTTTATTGGCATATAATTTTTCATAGTATTCTCTAATAATTCTTTGTATTTTTGTGATAATTCCTTTTTGGTTTCTGATTGTGTTTATGTGTGTACACTCTCTTTTTTTTTCTTGATAAGTCTGGGTAGGGGTTCACCTATTTTGTTGATTTTCTCAAAGAATCAGCTCCTGATTTCCCTAATTCTGTTGTTTTATTCTTCTCAATTTTATTTCTGCTCTGATCTTTATTATATCCCTCCTTCTATGAACTTTGGGTTTCATTTGTTCTTCTTTTTCTAGTTTCTTTAACTGTGAGTTTAGACTGTTTATTTGGGATTGTTCTTGTTTCTTAAGGTAAGCCTATATTGCTATGTACTTTCCTCTTAGAAGTTTCTTCTCTGAATCCCACATGTTTGGGGCTGTTGAGTTGTTTTCATTTGTGTCCATATATTGCTTGATCTCTGTTTTAATTTGGTCATTGATCCATTGATTATTTAGAAGCATGTATGTTGCTTAGCTTCCATGTATTTGTAGGCTTTTCTGGTTTTTGTGTGTGTAATTTATTTCTAGTTTCATACCATTGTGGTCTTAGAAGCTGCTTGATGCAATTGCAATCTCTTTTAATTTACTGAAGCTCTTTTTGTAGCTTAATATGCTATCTACCCTAGAAAACTTGAGAAGAATGTGTATCCTGCTGCTTTTGGGTAGAGTGCCCTGCAGCTATCTGTTAGGTACATTTATTATAACATATTGTTCAGTGCGTCTGTCTCCTTACTTATTTTTTGTCTGGTTGATCTGTCTATTAGTGTGAGTGGTGCGTTAAAGTCTCCAGAAATGAATCTGTTGCAGTCTTTCTCCCTTTAATTCTGTTAGTCTTTGTTTTACTGATTTGGGTGCTCCTGTATTGGATGAATAGACATTAATATCTTCTTGTAGGACTGTTCTTTACATATCTTTATCATTATGTAATGTTCTTCTTTGTCTCTTGTTATTTTGTTTTGAAATCAATTTTGTCTGATAAAGTATTGCTATTCCTGCTTTTCTTTCCCTATTATTTGCATGAGTATTTTTTTTCAATCCCTTCACTTTTAATTTGTGTATGTCCTTGAATCTGCGATGAGTCTCTTGTAGGCAGCATATAGATGGGTTTTATTTTCTTATTCATTCTGCCACTCTGTCTTTTGATTGGTATATTCAGTCTACTTACATTTAGGGTGATTATCAATAGGTATGTACTTAGTGCCATTGCAGGCTTTGATTTGTGGTTACCAAAGGTTCCAGAATAGCTTCCTTACTATCTAATAGTCTGTCTTAAATTGCTGATTATTCTATTTCAAACACAATCATTGGTACTCCCCTCCCCCTTCTTCCTCCTCCACACTTTATATATTAGGTGTCATATTCTGCACTTTTTGTGTATCCCTTGACTGATTTTGTTAGCAGTTGATTTAATTTAGTACTTGCTTGGTGATTAATTGGTCTACTACCTTTACTGTGAGTTTATTTTCTCTGGTGACAGCTATTTAGCCTTAGGAATATTTCCATTTAGAGCAGTCCCTTATTACATAATATGTGTTTGTGTTCCCAGACCAGATCTTCTGGGCCAGGTGTTCTGTGGTCCTGGGCTCCTACTCCCTCCTCAGTCCGTTCCTCTTCCTGTGGGCTGGGGTTAGGGGAGGGCTTAGGTGCCAGTGGAAAGTGGCTTTGCCATTTACCCTTTTCTGTGAGATCTTCTTTTCTTTCCCAGATGTAGGTCGTCAGTTCTGCAGTCCTCATATCATTTTAAGGTTTGGTTGTATTTGCTTAATTTTCATGTTTTATGTGATTTTGGGAGGAGGTTTCTGCCTTGCCTTCTTATACTGCCATCTTTTCCCCAGAATCATCTCTTTCTTTCTGATATAAGTAGATTAGTTTTGCAGAAATACCTTTCCTCTCATGTTTTTCTCTTGCTTAAGAACTTACAACTGTTCTCTTCTGCCTAACAGAGCTAATTTGAATTTAATCAGATCCACCAACAAAGTGATTATCTCTTACTAGCTATGTAATTTCTAGATTATAAACTAAATAATTTATGTAAAATGACTAGAACAGCACTTAGGACATATCTATTAACCAAAGATAAACTGTTGTTCTCTCTGAGCATCAGAGATCACCATGGGCTTGAAACATTTGAGAAAAAAGGAGAATTTATCATGTGTATGGTAGTCAAAAAAGATGGCCTTTGGCTAGACTTAGGAAACACAAGAAAGTGTTCAGAGGCCAAGAGTGATTCATTCAGTTGTCCATTTACCAAGTACTTAGTGAGCTTTACCTGGGCTAGGACTTGCTAAGACCTAGGTATACAGCAGTAAATAAATAAGACTGATATAGTCCCCATCTTCATGGAGTTTATAGATAAATGGGTGAAAGCGATATTATCCAAACAAAAATACAAATAATTACTTATGAAGAAAAAAGTCCAAGCCAATTTCAGAACAAAAAAAAGACTTAATACAGGCAAAAAAAAATACAAACTAGGTTTAGATGCCTTTATAAAGGGTGCACAATGTCAAGAAAAAAAGTATTAACAGGGATTATTAACTGAGTAGGTGTAGGGAGAACAGAAAGGAAAAGAATCAAAGGTGGCTCTAAAGAATTAAGCCTGTGAGCCTTGTACATTTTCAGGATTCACTAGAGTGAGGAAGCTGGAGACAGCTTCAGATAACAATCTTACATTTGCATGGCACTTAAGGATTTACATATAGCACTTTTGCTTTCATGATCTTATTGATCTTTACTAAGGTACTGAGGAATGGCAGCTGGACAGTGTGGTGACATTTCTAATGACAGACTGCGAAGAGGAAGACACCATTGCCCTACCAGCAAGATCATCACTTGACAGTCCTTAAGCCTTTCTGCATGAGAAGAATTACTTTAACCACAAATTAGAAGACAGTTACACTACTTACTCAAGATTCCTTACAGTAAGGAAGAAAAAGTTGACATTTTAATTAAGACAGTGAAAACCGACAGCCTTGGAAAAACAAATGAGCATCTACCTCCAAGAAACTTTAGTAATATCATTCAACGAATTCAAAGGACTCACCTTGACAAAGTCCAGGACAGCATCTCTCTGAATCTGCTTTGTCCTTATTTTCTCCTCCTCATACTGTAAGGCAGCAAGCTGTGCCTCTCTCCGAGTACGCTCTACTAATTGTTCTCTTCTCCGATGGAGTTCTAAGTCTGTATGTGACAACTGGAACAAATATGTATCATTTTGCAGATGCAAGTGGGGATAAAGATTAACTTATCAGTATTCCCTATAGATTTCGGGAATCTACTGCTAACGCAAGCAACTGTTACTTTGCAGTCACCTGGCATATCTTTAAATGTGCTTATTGTTAGTCTTTTTGATCATAGCGCTGTGTTCACATATGTACTATAAAGCCACCATGTGGGTGAAAACTTACTTTCTGTCTGGGGTTTTAAACCATTGTTACCAAGTATTGGGTGCACAAGTTATATCATGTATGATAGAGGAGACAGGTACTAGAGTTTTCAGATACCTGGCAATTAACAGTAAATTAAGTATTATAAAAACAGAAAACCACCTTAACTAAAAAAACAGAAAACCATAAAAAATAAAAGAGGAAAAAAAAATTTACCTGAGTATGACTTGGTGATAGTGACAAGAGAGAAGATGATTCAACTGGAACCCTGACCCCCCAAAAAAGGAGAAACTCTGATAAGATAGACAGATATATAAAAGGCAAATGAAATTTTATTATTAATGTGGCTTTCTACTAAACAACAGGCTAACTGTCTAGTCAGCACTGAAAGATGAACTGCATTTTGTAAACCTGAGCCCAGGTCATTAAATTAAGCTACGGGAATGCCTGTTATCTCCAACTCATGTTTCATGTCATGGTGTCACTGATCAAGCTACACCTGGCTAACAACTGTCCATGCAGCCAGCACTGAACACAATACTGTTATTTGAGATCACTTTCCAAACAGTTAACTTTCTTTATAGCACACATAACTACTAATTTCTTTACTACCACAACTGAATATATATATAAATGGAGATCAATTTTATGTATAAAGCCATTTTATCAACAGAAATCTAGAGTACTACAGAACCTGGTAACTATACTTATGAAGCAGTCTTACTCCCGTTTTCAGTTGATGAAGCAATTTTAGTAAAAAAAAAAAGTAAAAACCTAGTAATTTTTGTTTTTAAGAAAAAGATGAAACCTGGTTTGGTGCTGTAAAAAATAATAGTAAAACTTGGTGCTCTGTTTTATCAGTCCTAATTCTTACAGTTTGGTATTTATCTTTTTCCTGAACTGGATTTAGTGTTTTAAATCTCTTATTCATCTGAGTCTCTAAAACTAACAGTGTTGGAGCAGTGACTTTTTGAAATTTATGAGCTGAAATTTTAAACTATGATTACTAGCCTTGTCAGGTTGATTTACATGCATTAAATCAGTGTGTCACTAGGGAAATAAAAACAATTCTCCCAAAGCCCCAGCAGTTTCTTATTACCTACTACTAATAATACGAATTCTTCGATCTGTCACTTAGGACTCAGTCCATTTATAAACACACCCACTATGGAATCTTTTTTCTACCAAGAAATCTCTTCAGTTATCATATACTAATTCCCCACCTCAAGCCTTTTCCAAAGATCCCAACCTATGGAGATCTTCTTAGAAAAGATCTTTTTTAGAATCTTATTTTTCTTTAAGATTAGGACCTTTATCATTGATCTACATGTGTAATCAATACTTCTGCATTTATCAATTATGATTTGTATCATTTTTTTGGACAATATTTTTCAGAGGCCCATAGAAACTAACATTCCTTGAGCTCTTCCTATGTACTACATATGTTTTTACTAGGAAGTACTTTATACACACAGTATTTTTCAATTATTCCTCACCATAATCTTATGGAGTAAGAACTATTCTACAGTTGAATTGCTAAGACATGGAAGTTACATAACTACACCTGGTTAGCCAGTAATGCCCAGATTTGTATCCTACAGAACTGTGATATAATAAATGCGTGTGAATTAAGCTGCAAACTTTGTGGTAATTTGTTACACAGCCATTAGGAAACTAATTCATAAGGTAACTGAGAAAATAAATTTCTACTAAACGCTGGAGATCTTTGAGATGGTGAGCTGGATGTAGGAAACAGAGGGACAGAAGATAGAGCCCAGGTCCTCCCAAAGTGAGGAAATAGGAAACCCCTGCATGAAATTGGAATCTCAAAAGACCACACCCTCAGTATAAGGACACATGAAAACTAAGAAGCCATTCTGAGATAAATTTCAAAGTTAAGAAACTAAATGCTCCTGAATTGATAAGACTATAAAAGCCCAAGTTACGAGATTTCTTTCTTTTACTATTCTCCCCACATTTTCTTTATCCATTTATATATCAGCTCCCTGAACAACTTTAATATCCTGTTAAGAATACACAAAGAGAAGAGAGATTCAAGATGGCTGTGTGAAAGGTGAGACAGAGAACTCCTCCCAAAACCACAAATAGTATGAAAATATAGTTAATTAATACAACTAACCATAAAACAGTAAAAGGAAAGAAGGCTGAACCAGACTGAATACAGACATCACGAACAGAGCAGACCTCATGAAACAGGGTAACATACCAAAGCCTTGATCCAGCGGGACCCAAGCCCTTCCCCCACCCCAGCTCACCAGCGAGAGGAAGAGAAATGGAGCAGGGGAGGGGTGGAAGCCTGGGACTACTGAACGCCTAGCCCTGGAGGTCCACTTTCTGAGCAGAAACCTACACTGTGTGGGGCTCTGGAGCTTGGGGAGCTGGAACAGGCGGAGTGCCTGAGAGACTAACATTCCAGCTGTTTGTGGAGGAGGGGATCCACATCTGGCTGCTCTGTGACAAGAGGAGAGGCAGGCGGTCTGAGAGGCTCCCTAACAGTGACACGGCTGCTGAAGGGGCAGGGTTTGCATGGAGCTTGCTAGAAGGGAGAGTTAGACAAGGTTGTCTGAGAGTGCTCGTCCCAGCAGGTTGGGAACTTTGAGGGGTGGGCTGCTCAGGCCCCTCACTGTGACACGCAGCCTGCCCAGCCTTCCTTCTGCCCTGAGAGCATGAGCTCGCAAACCGGCAGCCACTGCACTGGTGTCCGATGGGCCAGAGGGAGGCCCCGCCTACAACAGCTGGAGACGCCGAGCACAGAGGCTTACACTTGTGTGCTTGGCCCACTGGCCGTGATACTGGAGACAGGCACTGCAGACGGGAATCAGGAAACAGATCTTTCCTCCACGAGGCACCAGCTCCACTTCCCAATGACCCCCAACCTCACTCTAGGGGCTGAGCAGCTCCAGAGACTGGAGCTTCTGGGCACTAGAGGACACCACACAGAAATAAGAAATGTCAAAAGAACATGGTTCAGACCAAAATCTCACAAACCCCAGAAAAAAGATCAAACGAAACTGAACTCACCAATCTTCCTGAGAGTTTAAAATAATCATAAACATGCTTATACAGGTACAGAAAAATATTCAAGAACTCAGGAAACAATTTAAGACGGAGATTCAATCATTAAGAAATTCCGTATCTGAAATGAAACATACAATAGAAGGACTTAAAAGCAGATTAGATGTACTAGAATAGATGGTAAATGGAATAAAAATTAGAGAAGAGGAATACAGAGAAGCCGAGGCACAGGGAGAAAAAAGAATCTCTAAGAATGAAAGAATATTGAGAGAACTGTGTGACCAATCCAAACAGAACAATATTCACATTATAGGGGTACCAGAAGAAGAGAGAGAAAAAGGGATAGAAAGTGTCATCGAGGAGGCAATTGCTGAAAACTTCCCCCATCTGGAGAAGGGGATAGACTCTCAAGCCATGGAAGTGCACAGACCTCCCAACACAAGGGACTAATGAACACAACATCAAGACATATAATAATTAAAATGGCAAAGATCAAGGATAAAGACAGACTTGTAAAAGCAGCTAGACAGAGAAAAAAGATCACATACAAAGGAAAACCCATCAGGCTATCATCAGATTTCTCAACATAAAGCTTACATGCCAGAAGGGAGTAGCATGATATATTTAACGCAATGAAGCAGAAGGGCCTTGAAATAAGAATACTCTACCCGGCAAGGTTATCATTCAATTTGAAGGAGTGACTAAACAATTTTCAGATAAGCAAAAGCTGAGAGAATTTACCTCCCACAAACTACCTCTACAGTGCATTTTGGAGGAACTCCTATAGATGGAAGTATTCCTAAGGATAAACAGATGTCACCCAAGGGACAGAAATAGAGTACATAATATGATTCATAACATACAAAGAATGGAGGAGGAAGAAAAAAAGAAAAAGGAGGAAAAAAAAAAGGAACTTTAGGTTGTGTTTGTAATAGCATATGAAGTGAGTCAAATTAGGCTGTTAGATAGTAAGGTAATTGCTCTTGAAACTTTGGTAACCACGAATCTAAAGCCTGCAATGGAAATAAGTACATACCTATCAATAATCACCCTAAATGTAAATGGTCTGAATGCACCAATCAAAAGACATAGAATGGATAAGAAAACAAGACCCATCTATATGCTGACTAAAAGAGACTCACTTCAAACCCAAAGACATACACAGAAAGTAAAGGGATGGAAAAGATATTTCATGCAACTAATAGGGAGAAAAAAGTAGGAGTTGCAGTCCTTGTATCAGACAAAATAGATTTCAAAACAAAGAAAGTCACAAGAGTAAAAGAAGGACATTACATAATGATAAAGGGGTCAGTCTAACAAGAGGATATAACTATTGTAAATATCTATGCACCCAACACAGGATCACCTACATATGTGAAACAAATACTTACAGAATTAAAGGGGGAAATAGAAGGTAATGCATTCATTTTCGGAGACTTCAACACACCACTCACTCCAAAGGACAGATCAATCCGACAGAAAATAAATAAAGAGACAGAGGCACTGAACAACGTATTAGAACACATGGACCTAATGGACAGCTACAGAACACTCCATCCAAAAGCAATAGGACACCCATTCTTCTCAAGTGCACTTGGAACATTTTCAAGAATAGATCATATACTAGGCCTCAAAAAGGGCCTCAGTAAATTCAAAAAGAGTGAAATTGTACCAACCAGCTTCTCAGATCACACAGGTATAAAACTAGAAACAAACTACACAAAGAAAATGAAAAATCCCACAAACACATGAAGGGTTCACAGCATGCTCCTAAATAACCAATGGATCAATGACCAAATCAAAACAGAGATCAAGCAATATATGGAGAGAAATGACAACAATAATTCAACACCGTAAAAATCTGTGGGACGCAGCGAAGGCCGTGCTAAGAGGGAAATATATTGCAATACAAGGCTACCTCAGGAAAGAAGAACAATTCCATATAAGCAGTCTAAACTCACAATTAATGAAACTAGAAAAGGAAGAACAAATGAGGCCCAAAGTCAGTAGAAGGTGGGACATAATAAAGATTAAAGCAGAAATAAATAAAATTGAGAAGAATAAAACAATAGAAAGAAGCAATGAAAGCAAGAGGTGGTTCTTCAAGAAAATAAACAAAATAGATAAACCTCTAGCCAGAGTTATCAAGAAAAAAAGAGTCTAAACACATAAACAGAATCAGAAATGAGAAAGGAAAAATCACTACGGACACCACAGAAATACAAAGAATTATGAGAGAATATTATGAAAAATTATATGCTAACAAACTGGATAATCTAGAAGAAATGGACAACTTTCTAGAAAAATACAACCTTTCAAGGCTGACCCAGGAAAAAACAGAAAACCTGAACAGACCAATTACAGGCAAAGAAAATGAACTGGTAATCAAAAAACTACCTAAGAACAAAAGTTCTGGTCCACATGGCTTTAACACTGAATTTCATCAAACATTTACTGAAGACCTATTACGCATCCTCCTTAAAGTTTTCCAAAAAGTAGAAGAGGAGGAAATACTCTGAAACTCATTCTACAAGGCCAATATCACTCTAATACCAAAACTAGGCAAAGACACCACAAAAAAGAAAATTACAGACCAACATCCCTGATGAACACAGATGCAAAAATACTCAATGAAATATTAGGAAACCGAATTCAAAAACACAGCAAAAAGATCATCCATCATGATCAAGTAGGATTCATCACAGGGATGCAAGGATGGTACAACATTCAAAAATCCATCAACATCATCCACTGCATCAACAAAAAGAAGGACAAAAACCACACGATCATCTCCATAGATGCTGACAAAGCATTTAACAAAATTCAACATCCATTCATGATAAAAACTCTCAACAAAATGGGTATAGAGGGGAAGTACCTCAACATAATAAAGGCCATGTATGACAAACCCACAGCCAGCATTATACTTAACAGCGAGAAGCTGAAAGCTATTCCTTTAAGATTGGGAACAAGAAAAGGATGCCCACTCTCCCCACTTTTATTCAACATAGTTCTGGAGGTCCTAACCACAGCAATCAGAAAACACAAAGAAATAAAAGGCATCCAGATTGGCAAGGAAGAAGTAAAACTGTCCTTGTTTGCAGATGACATGATATTGTACATAAAAAACCCTAAAGACTCCACTCCAAAACTCCTAGAACTAATATCTGAATTCAGCAAAGTTGCAGGATACAAAATTAACACACAGAAATCTGTAGCTTTCCTATACACTAACAATGAACCAACAGAAAGAGAAATCAAGAAAACAATTCCATTCCAGTTGCATCAAAAAGAATAAAATACCTATGAATAAACCTAACCAAGGAAGTGAAAGACCTATACCCTGAAAACTACAAGACACTCATGAGAAAAATTAAAGATACCAATAAATGGAAACACATCCCGTGCTCATGGATAGCAAGAATTAATACTGTCAAAATGGCCATCCCGCCTAAAGCAATCTGCAGATTCAATGCAATACCTATCAAAATACCAACAGCATTCTTCAATGAACTAGAGCAAATAGTTCTAAAATTCATATGGAACCACAAAAGACCCCGAATAGCCAAAGCAATGCTAAGAAGGAAGAACAAAGCAGGGGAAATTACCCTTCCTGACTTCAAGCTTTACTACAAAGCCACAGTAATCAAGACAATTTGGTACTGGCACAAGAACAGACCCATAGACAAATGGAACAGACTAGAGAGACGAGATATAAACCCAAGCATGTATGGTCAATTAATATAAGATAAAGGAGCCATGGATATACAATGGGAAATGACAGCCCCTTCAACAACTGGTGTTGGCAAAACTGGACAGCTACATGTTAAAGAGAATGAAACAGGATTCCTGCCTAACTCTACACAAAAGTAAACTCGAAATCAATCAAAGACCTGAATGTAAGTCATTCAACCATAAAAGTCTTAGAAAAAAATATAGGCAGAACTCTCTTGAATATAAACATGAGCAAGTTTTTCATGAACATATCTCCCTGGGCTAGGCAAACAAAAGCAAAAGTGAACAAACGGGACTATATCAAACTAAAAAGCTTCTGTACAGCAAAGGACACCATCAGTAGAACAAAAAGACATCCTACAGTATGGGAGAATATATTCATAAATGACATATCTGATAAGGAGTTGACATCCAAATTATATAAAGAGCTCATGCACCTCAACAAACAAAATGCAAATAAGCCAATTAAAAAATAGGCAGAGGAGCGAACAGACACTTCTCCAAAGAAGAAATTCAGATTGCCAACAGGCACATGAAAAGATCTCCATATCCCTAATCATCAGAGAAATGAAATTATAACCACAATGAGGTATCACCTCACACCAATTAGGATGGCCAACATTCAAAAGACAAACAACAACAAATGTTGGTGAGGATGTGGAGAAAGGGGAACCCTCCTGCACTGCTGGTGTGAATGTAAACTAGTTCAAGCATTGTGGAAAGCTGTATGGAGGTTCCTCAAAAAACTCAAAATAGAAACACTATTTGACCCAGGAACTCCAGTCCTAGGAATTTACCGTAAGAATGCAGGAGTCCGGTTTGAAAAAGACATACGCACCTATGTTTACCACAGCACTATTTACAATAGCCAAGAAATGGAAGCAACCTACGTGTCCATCAGTAGATGAATGGATAAAGAAGATGTGGTACATATATACAATGGAATATTATTCAGCCAGAAGAAAACAAATTCTACCATTTGCAACAACATGGATGGAGCTACAGGGTTATGCTCAGTGAAATAAGCCAGGCGCAGAAAGACAAGTATTAAATGACTTCACTCATCTGTGGAGTATAAGAACAGAGAAAAAACTAAAGGAACAAAACAGCAGCAGACTCACAGAACCCATGAGTGGACTAACAGTTACCTAAGGGAAACAGATTCAGGGGGATGGGTGAGGAGGGATAAGGAGGAAAAAGGTTCATTATAATTAGCATGTATAATGTATGTGGGGGACATGGGGAAGGCAGTGTAACACAGAGAAGACAAGCAGTGATTCTATAGCATCTTGGGAGAATATATTCATAGATGGACAGTACGCTGATAGACAGTGACTGTAATGGGGTATGTGGTAGGGACTTGGTAATAGGGGGAGTCTAGTAACCATAATGTTGTTCATGTTAAGTGTACATTAATAATAGTAAAATGAAAATAACAATGAAAGAAAAAAAGAGAAAAAAGAATACATAAAGAACTATGTGCAACACTTTCTACACAGTAAGCTTACTGTTGGTTAAGAGTAGTCATATTAAGTCTATTGCTTTGAGACTTTAAAAACAGAGAGGAAAGGAAAGAACCAAAGGCTATGAATTTTTCAACTATTGTGATATAGTTTATGACACAAACTTTTTGGAATTCAAGAATAAGAAGCAGTGCTCTAAACAGTCAAGCTAACCTTAGAAATATTCTGTGAGTCATTAAGTGTAATGAAAAGATCCTATCAACTCTGATAGCAATGAGGATATAGACTGCTGTCTTTGTGTATTTCTTTTACCTAGTTTAAAGTTTATGTAAAAAAATTCCCAGGACTTGTGAAATTCATTTATCCCTCTTTATACATAAATCCAAACATATCACCATAAGATCTCATTGCTAGTATCTTCAAATCAAATAATTGTACAGTTACTGCTTTATGTGATATCAATTTTATTTCTTTTTCTATTACAGAAACACAAAGGCACATTTCACTAAGCTCTAAATACATTCTACGTATAACATCTTCATTATACGAAGAAAAAAAACTAAAATCATTTCATGCTCTTATTGAGTTTTAAAGAGAGAAACAAATGAGTAGAACTGGCTTTTCAAACCTGATTTGTTGTGAGTATCTTCTCATGTCTTCTGTTTTTTGAAACTCCCTCAGGGGTACTGGCTTTATTGGTGAACCCTAGGCCAAAAAAGCAGAAATAAATCAATTTAACATATGTATCCAGGAAACTGTAATTACACCGTTCAACTTGGCATTTAGGGATCTGTATATTACACTAAAAATATTTTAGCAGAATATTTAATTATGAATTTTTACATCTAAAAACATTATAGGCTATATACTACTGCTTTGGGAAACACAAAACTATTCATAATCCAGAAATATTTATTTTTTTAAAAAGCAGATTTTCTGTTCACTGTATTACCTAAGTTACAGTGACTATACTGCAATATTTACTGAATGGTAAGATGTTAGAATTGGGAAGGACCTTAGAGGTCACCTAGTACCAACTTTCACTTACAACAGGAACTCCTACCTACCCTACTTGAGTTGTACTCAGCCTCTCTAGAATATTTCTAGTAACAGGGGGTTCACTGGCAGATTACATTTCTTTACTTTTTCAGCACAAGTTAATTATGTTAGTGATACAACAGTCCTAGGATGTTAGTGAAATATTAAGATAAAGCACAAAGTAATTTCTATTTATGGTAAAATATGGTATTAATTAAAAGAAATATTGGCCATTTAATTTATTTATAAACAAAAGGTAAACGTCATTTCAAAACACAAAACTAAGGAAAATTACACTGGCTTACGAGACATGGACCACACACTGAAAAATAAAATTATAAATCAAAAGTAGAGGTTTATAATTTGCTCTCTTACAGCACTAAATTATGCTTTCTACCTTTATCTTGCATCTACCTACCACTTCAGCATTTTATTAAAAATAATAATAATAATAATAATAAGGGAGAAATGTGGGATTCACATATAAATCAAGTATAAAAATCAAATGAAAAAAAAAGTAGAGGCTTATAGTAGGCTATCACAGCATGTATTTTGTCAAGTGAGAATCTATAGAAGCAATACAATCTTATTTCAACAACAAAAACAATAATCAAAATGGATATTCTTGAAGGAAAATAACTTATCTAAAATGGTATCTAAAAATGAAATGCGAAATGATTTGTAGTCTGTCGCCAAGAAATAGGAACAGCACACATAACCAGAAAATCTTTAGTGAGTTACTGCAAAGGGCTAAAGTTGACTCCCTTAAAGTCTGGGCATGAGGATCTTAGAAAATTAGACACAAGTCTAGAATCCTGATGAGAGAATAATTATTCTGATTTCAGTAATTATGGCTGAAAAACATATCAAAAATTTCTCCTAGCATGCTAACATCAGTGACTTACCACCCTGGTTTTACAATATTGCAATTATTCAAAATTATTGCAAGAGCTATACGAAATTTTCATGACAAAACAATGTGACATTATTCAGTTTTAATGAAAGTATGTCATACTTATGTTTTAAAAATAAATATACTTTATTTTTAATATATAATTTAATAATTTTAATAAGTGTAAGTCATCCTCTATAAATATGTCATATCTTTTTTATCATAATATCTCTGTGATAGGTATCATAATAAATAAAAGCAGTGTTGAAAATATCAAATAGATTACTTTAACAACCCATTTGTATACAGTATTCAAGAATGCAGCAAAATAGTTCTTCACTGCTTATTAAACCATCTAAAATAATACTGCTTCATCATACTTTAATAGATGCCAAATTTTAGCTACAGGAATCACAAAAAGCCTTAGGACACAGAATCATAAAGAGTACCACACATAATCAACAGTTGGTATTACAAAAACATAGTATAAAATAGCCAATTTAATGGATTAAAGAAATGGTACTACATTTTCACCAGTAGTATTAACAGGCATTTTCTGCTTTAGCAGAAGCACCTAATCTATACAGCCTAATTAACCATAAAATGATCAAAGAGAAGGACCACAAGAAAAAGGACTCCCTTTAAGATGATAATGTGCATTGTTAATTTTAATTTTATTGCCAAGTAGTTGTCCTTTGCTCTATCAGGGGTACCTATAACCTGAACCACAAGCAGTTTCATTAATAACCTGGTACATTGCTATCTCTGGGCTGCAAGACTTTGATTTATTTAACGTCACCCAACTTTTAAATACAAAGGTGTCTTCCAACATTAACAAAAAATCTGTGTTCAAAAGCCTTCAGAAAGGAAAACCGAAGTTTTATGTTCTATGATAGTATCACTCCATAATATGTCTCACTTGAATTGATTATGCTCTATTTCTAAAAGGCTAAACACATCATTCTCCAAAAAGGCCCCAAGTTATTTCTCAAATAGCCCCTGCTCAGAGCCTGGGACCAACTCCAGACATGAACATCACACACACTGAAGTGGAGCCATTTTATTATGCTGACTAGATATACTGGCGAATGCCATTTCCACTTGAGATGCTAGGAGAATTGGCAGAGAATCTGCAGTGGACTGAATGCTCATTTGTTTTCTAAGGCAACTCAGTGTTCCTCTACAAGAGACACCCAAGAATTTTAATGACAAACAATTTATATTCTGTGTGGCTTAGCATAAAAGCTCCAATATAATTAAGTTCATTATAAAAATTCTATGGTTAAGCTTGTATGTAGCTCCAAAAGTGAGCAGTTTGTTTCAATTCTTAATTGCTGATTAAATTATGACTTGAAAGTTAGTAACAATAAAAAAGCAGTGAAAACAGCAATGAAAAGCAACATGTCCCTGTGCATTTCCTTCAAAGATGTAGGATACACTGAAGGCTCCTTAGTTTCCTTCTTCAAAATTCTAAAGTCTGTCTGTTTATTTGAAAAATAAACCTAAACCCTACTTGAAACTACAGTTTGATTCTAAAAACAAATGTGAAAAATTTAGTAATGAATTTGAACTAAACATAATAAAACAAATAATTAGGCCTAAACCAAGAAATCATTGGTATAATAGAAATTTATACTGCCATGAACTGCTTTTTCTAGGAGACAGCAACATATTTAGGCTTAAATGTGTAAACTACCTCGTGAGAGATTCGCCGTTGTTCAATATAGGCCACAAACTGTGAACTGAGGCTGTCTGAGTGCAGGCCCTTGGGCTGTCTCACCTCATCCTCTTCTTCCTCTGCAGTACAGCTATCAATGTAGTCGATCTGATCCAGATCATGCTCCACTGTCCACACAATACCCACACCAGAAGAAAACATTCAAATCAGATAGCCAATAAAAAACATTATATTGCATTTTTCCCTCTTCCCTAACATTTTATATTCTAAAAGGGGAAAGAAAAGTTTAAATTAGGTAGTCCTTTCTTATTTAGTCATAGGCACTCACAAAAATAGGCTCCCGAAAAATCTTAGTCCTAATTCACTACAGAATACAGTAAATGATGGTCATTATTGGAATACAGACCTCTAATGCTTTTTTTTTAACCTTTGGATAGCCCTCTATTGTTTTAAATAAGATGGTTTGAGTTTGTGAGACAAAAAGAAATAATAATTTCTAAACACCAAAAGGTACACTTGCTTTAGGTTTTTTCCCTCAAGTTTTAGGTTTGTGGCTTAATCATATCTCTTTGAGTAGCTGGGAGAAGAAAACCTAACATAATTAAATCAAAAGAAAAGAGAGAAGGTAGAAGGTAAGTGGGCCTGGAGATAAAGAAATAGGTAACAACTAATGTGTCCCTTCCTACTACTGTTTCTCTTTTATCTCTTGCTCATAATTAGAACAAAGATTTTCCTATTTGGAAAATTATTTTTAGAGATCAGCATTGTAGACATTTTACAGTAATTTGTAGATGGAAGGGAATCGTTTGAGGAATGTTTTCTTCTCAAAATGCTTTTGGATGGGGAGCAGATAAGTAAAACAGAGCCACATTATTATTTCTTCCAACAAGTTTGGGAGCTCCCATGATTTTCAGGCTTAAAAAGTAACTATTTTAAAAAGCTAGTTAAAATGGTGTACTAGAAAAAAATGCTACTAAGATGTATCTTTGGATGTTTCTCCAGAGATGAGTTAAAAACACCAGCCATTATCATAGGCATAGACTGCCTAAAAGTTGTTTTGGGAACAGTGAATTTGGAGAAGTCAATCTAGTTTTCCAATTCAATTATTTTTAAATAATTCCAAAACTATAATTGATATAACAAATGAGTTTTGAATTATTCAAGTTATAATAATAGGTAAAAGGATGAAAGGTTTTAAGTCTACACACACACATTACAAACTGGGTACATAAAAGCATTTTTTTCAACATGCTATAACTTGTGTGACTAAAAAAGTGTTTCATTCGATGACTACTTCCTAAGAAAGCAACATCGCTTTTTTCATAATATCTAACACTATCATTATTGTGCAAGAGAGAATGCAATCCATGGAAGTGAACCACATACGTAATGTAAAATTATCTAGTAGCCACATTTTTTAAAAAAGTTAAAAGAAAACGTGACACTAATTTCATAGTATATTTCATTTTGTCCAGTTTTATCTACAGTTTATCATTATGACAGTCAATATAAAGTACTAAAATAAACTCTTTTTTCATGCAAAGGCTTCAAAATCTGACGTATATTTTATACTTAGAGTACAATTCAGAAAAACCTCATTTCCAATGCTCAATAACCACATGCTAGCTAGTAGCTACATATTGGACAGCACAGGTCCAGACATTATTTTAAGTACAAAATGAACTGATGGGAACAATATCTCATATGAAAGCAAGATTAAGAAGAAAACTAAAATGTGAGCAGAATGGTAAATGACAGAAATAAAAAAGAATGTAAGATGATAAGGGAAAAAAAAAGAGAGCAAACCACTTAACTGAAATCTTCATTCAGAGATGAAAGCTCTTCTCAGATAATATTATGGGTTTCCGGAAAAATCAAAGTGATTTCTCCCTTATGACTGGGACTCAAAAGTTAAACATTAGGATTTAGTAACCTAAACTAAAGAAATACTGGATGGAATGCCAAAATCAAGAGTCTGCCTCAGAAGCCCAAAGAAGCAGAAAGAGCCCTGCCTGTTAATGAATTATAAAAAACAATTTCAAAGTAAAAAAAAAATTTTTAATTTAAATTACAAATTTTTAAATACCAGAATAAGGAAAACTTAGGATTCAGATGCCCTTGAAGAGTCAATTCCAGATGAAAGAAAAGGCAAAGTTAAGAAATGCACTGAATTCCTGAAAGAGGTCAAGTAATGACCATAGGGAGGACTTTAAAAAAGGAGAACAGTACTTCAAAAGACCATGGCTAAATCAAGATCAACAAAGATCTATTCCAGGTAAATTATCTTTAATAAAATTCCCTCCCAAAGTAAAAGTGAGAGAGAGAAATACTGCAATTCAACTATGAGCCTGAAAACATAAGAGAAACTGAAATTTAATACCAATGGAAAGCAATTTTTTCCAATCATGAGAAGAGGACATCTTTATGGGTTGACAAAGCTACAGATACACAAAAGGAGTGGTGTGAAAAAGACCTCTTAAAAAAGTTAGAGTCATATAGGCCAGATGCCATGAGGAATCAGGTTTACCTCCACCATTTGTTACAACTAAGCTGCTGCGATTCTCCTGATACTGGCTTTCTCTCCGTAGTCTTTGTTCTTTAGTAATTTCTGCTACTCGAAGAGGCAGATCTGAAAATTCATCTGTAGGCTTAAAAATTTTGGATGGCATAAACATTAGACACATCATTGCAAATTTCAGACAACTGAGTATTTAAAGCATGAATATATTATAAACTCATTAAAATTTATATTTAAGAAGAAATAATAAATGTTATAGAGATGCACAGTGGTGACTGTTCTCAGCAATGTGAAGGTACTTATTGCCACTGAAATGTACACTTAAGAGTGGTTAAAATGTAAATTTATGTTATGTATATTTTGCCACATTTAAAATAAAGAAGAAATAGAAGGGTAAGACTCTACAAATTTACGTATTTAAATGGATTTAAAGTACATATGTGTGCTATATAGATACAGCCACAGTTATGTACACACCCAACCACACATACACAGCAGTTCCAAACTACAAACGCGCTGTGGTCTGCTTTGGATTCTCAATGAAACAATGTTATCATAGGTTACCAGTCTTGGTAATAAAAGCTTATTTCATCACTTAATCCAACATATAGTTAAAATATTCTACCTCAATAGTTTTAAAAAGGAGAAAACATAATACTAACAAATTAAATAAAAGAGAAAATTATATAACTAGCTAAGAAAGTTATTTATCTTGAAAACATAGATCTGTGTAAGGTTCCCCTCTAATTCCATCAGACTGTAGTCCTATTTTCTCACCTTAAAGCACCCCTCGTTACCACTTCTGCTCAAATTTCAGGCTTCAGCTGTAACTGGTTCAGTTCCCATTTGGCTTTCCAAGATATTAAACTACTTACACAAGACAATGAAATAACAAACATGTACAACACACATGGTAAAAAGATGGTAAAGAAACATAATACCCTTTTTGGATGGTAGGACCATGTGGGATTTTACCCCTTTCTTGACTTCTCTAAATTTTATGTAGTTAGAAATTGAATACAGTTAACATACTTTTCATTTTCACAATTTTAGTTTCTCCTAATCAGGAGTCATAAACATGCAGAATAGAAGAACCACTTACTTCATTCCCTGACCATCTCTTATCACCACTGTCCACACTATTGAAGCCTGAATCAAGGGCTCCATAAGGGCGACCTGAGTACAGTTCTTCATGGCTGCCAAAAAGAGACTTTAGCTTTACTGCAAAGTTTGATGCTTTAAAAATTAACATTTGAAATGAATCAGATGCAATTTTAGTAATGAACATTTTCATGGCATTTAGTGATTTATTTAGAACTAAATGGACATTCTTTTAACTTTTTAATATGAAAAAATCCAAATTAAAATATAACTGGATAATGTATAATAGTCTACTAGTGTTAACAGTACTCATGATCCAGCTACAAAAATATCAACATTCCACCATTCTTGTTTCATCTGTGCCTCTATTACATCCTCCCCTCAACTGTTATTTTTAATAGTACTTTTTTAAGGTAAAATGTACATACGTTGAAATGTACACACCTTAGCTGTATACTTGACAAATGAACACATCTTTGTAACGCACACCTCTACATGATAGAGAACATTTCTACTTTGCCAGAAAATCCCCACACATCCCTTTTCAGTCAGTTCTCCTTACCCTGCCATTGTGTGCTCTCTAAGAGATAAACACCATTCTGATTTTTTTTTACCATAAATTAGTGTGAAAGTCAGGATAATGGTCCCCAAAGATGTCCAAGACCTACTCCCTGGAACCTGTAAGTATGTTAATTTACACGGCAAGGGGGAATTAAGGGTGAAAATAGAAATAAGGTTGCTGATCATCTGACCTTAAAATAGATTATCCTTAATCTCAATGGGCTCAATGTAACCAAAAGGGTCCTTAAAAGTGGAAAAGGGAGGCAGAGGAGGTCAGTGCGATGCAATGATGCTTGAAGATGGAGGAAGGGGACCAAGAGCCAAGGAATGCAGACAGCCTCTACAAGGTGAAAAAGGTAAGGAAATATATCCTACTCAGAACCTACAAAAAAGAACAGAGCTCAGCCAACATCTTGATTTTAGACCTACAAGACCAAGATTTACACTTCTGACCTATAAAACTGTAAGATAATAAATCTGTGTTGTTTAAACCTCTATGGCTATAAAACGTTAAGGAAGACTGCATGTTGTTCTTATGTTACACAGAAGTAGTTAGAAAGTTACATCTAAGGATTCAAAGTACCATAGCATCTGAAGTTGTCTAAAATCTGGTTTGTACTGAATACGTGAGGAACTACAGGATTAATACAAATTTTCTTTAGCAAGAAAGGACTCATGTTCCTTGATCACTGTAGACAGCTATAACTATAATGTCTGATATTTATATAGGGCTTTATGGTCAGCAAAGCACTTTCAAACACAGGTCATTTAATTCTCAGAACTATTGTTAAGAGTATAAACAGGATAAAGATCATATTGAAGAAACCAAGATTCAAAGAGGTTTTAAGTCAACTACCTACCCAATAGTACAGGGATCCAGAGCTAGAACCAAGGCTTTCTGATGCTATGACAGCATTTTTTAATAAATGTATGGGTAACTGCAATGCAATCTCATTAATCCACACCTCAGTAAAAAAGACATGAAGGAATAGTATCTCATTCACAGGTCCTTGAGTTAGAGGAAATATTTTATTTATGTTATATATATATGGAAAATATAAAATAAAAGACAGATTAATCTACTGAGCTTAATTAGAGATTATTACAGGGATTGGAATACATCAGCTCTGTAATTACTAGTTCCTTTAGAAAGACACAACATATTCATGCTATTTAGTCTTCCCATTTAGGAAAGGTTTCTCCATTGATTTAAACTTCCACTGATTTAAGCTTATCTCTTAGCAAACACACATGCCAAGTCTCTTGCCTGATTTTTTAAAAAAATGTTTTTAAAGTAATATAAGGGATTGCTATATATTTTTTAAAAATTAGGCGGAGACTAATTAGTCCTCAAGACTAAGGGCAGAGTCACTTAGAGAAAGAGATTCTGCAATTAACACTAGAGCCCTCAATTAAAGGTTATTACTTGTCTAGGTGGCAATGCTTCCTCCTTAATCTCTTTAGGCATACCGTCACATACCCATTCCCAGTAATCACTACAAACTGTCTTAAACTCAAACCTCAAAGGCAACTGTAGCTGTTGCTATTTCAGAAGAAGAAAACTCTTCCCTAGCGAAGATTACTAACTCCAAGGGGGAAACCAATTTGTGTATATATAAAATAAAAGCTACTTTTATTTGTTGTACATATTTTAACAGTACAGGAGAACACTTTAAATGAAAATTTTAAATAGGAAAATGAAAACTTTCTTCAATACATAAGGAATAAGAGTTCTATATTATAAGCAATTAAAACTAAGATAGGAGGAAAAAGAAATGAAGAAGGAAGATGAGATAATGAAAGGAGAGAATAAAACAAATTCTTGTTTAATAATGGCCTGGGTCCCCTCATATGCTCCCCACTATTGAAATCCTTCTTGTAGGAGAGACCTAGATGCAGCACAGAGTATGTGAGATCTAACCCCTACCATCTGTCAAAACCTTTTGAGCCTTCCATCACATCACATTCCTGCTTTTAGTCCTCAGAGCTAAAAGTATTAGGACTGAGATGTTCCTGATAGGAATCTTTTATGGTTATGTATGATACTGGTTAATTTCTCCTTGTGTATTTGTATAATAAATATACTAAAACCAGTATTAATGTGTGCTTGAACAACCAGATTAGAGCTGGTATTTTACATATTTCACAGTATACATGCAAATCTTCTCTAATAGTGAGACCAAAAAACCCAGAATGTAATCACAAAGTTGTTTATGATGACTTTAATTAAGCAGGGGAAAGCTAGGAGGGAAAAATAACATTACCAAAATGACTGTTCATTCTTTCAATAAATACTTGTTGGGTTTCTACTGCATGTGTCAAACACTCAGTTGAGCTAAGGGTGCAGTGGTGAAAAAAGGGATGGACTGTGGCAAAGAGCAGAAATCAAATCACTCTAGAGTAATAAGTTAGCTGAGAAGTCGTGTTCTGTATTTTCAGATGTGAAATTTTCAATTAGCTTGAGATCACCCCTTTATACCATAAACACTTAAATATTTAATTCTAATAATTTCTGATGAAAAAACCATATGCGTATTTCCTTTTACTGGAAATGATGTACCTTAATATACCTTAGCATTTTTTTCATAAGCATTAATTAGTGCAGTGTGTTAAGACACAATAATAACTTAAAATATTACTGAAATATGGAGGGTTCTTTGCATATGTGCCTAATGGTGCCAAATTGCCATTTTAGAGTTCTTCTGCTCTTAAATATTATTAAAATTATAAAATATATCATGTAAATAAAAAACAGTATCTATAACCAACATAACTTTTAAAATATGAGACATTATTAATATCTTTAAGGTCCCCTTATACCTCTTTCACACTGAATCTTCCCCTCAGTTAATCACTAACCTGAATTTTTTGTTTAATGTGTCTGTTTTTTACTTTTATTTTTTCCTTCAAATCGCTTTTTGTACTTTCAATATGTCTGCTCTTAGAAACTCTTATCAAAATAGAAATTTGTTAATCTGCTTTAGGCTACTGAGAAGCAGGCTCATTAGGACTGCACTTTTACATAAAATGTAAAGAGAAGGTTCTAAGAGAAGAGAAGGCTTGAGGGGGTTCTCTTTTGAGTAAAATCTATGAACATTACCGCACCTTCTTTGAGATATCTGTTTTGTCTCTTTAAAGGCCTTCTGAATTTAATTCCTGCTACTTAAGATTGTTCCACATCATTGGGAATGCCAACTAGAAGACCTTGTAAGTCAGGTGTTAGAGGGACTCACACACTGAAAGATCCAAAGTGACATTAACAGTCATCAAATCCACACTCTTCACTCCCTGTAGGAAAAATGAAGCCCATAAAGTTTGAATGACTTGCCATAAGTCACAGAGCTAATTAACAGCGGAGCCAATATTAGCATTCAAGTCATTCAGAGTAGTTTTGAACTGGGTACCCCCAAACAGGTACTTGCCAATGTCTGGCAACATTTTGTTTGTCACACTGGAAGCAAGCTACAGCAGCCAGGGATGCTGCTAAATACCTTCCAACAGACAGGATAGCTCCTCACGGTAAGAATTATCTGGTCCAAAATATCAACAGTGCCAAAAAAGGCTGAGATACCCTGACTTAGACCTTCACTTTATCAGATCTATGGAATCAACCTTTTACTTAATCCAGGCATTTGGAGAAAAACTGTCAAAATAGGTTATTTCCCTTTAGTCAAACATTCAGGTAGGTTTAGATTTAAGGGTCCAAATCCTTTATTTGATTCACTGTGAGACAGAATATGATAGAAAAAAGAAAACATACTCACCATGAGCCAAAACCCAAGGGTCTCCTGTCAAAATCTGGCAGATCTGGAGTAATCTTACAAGCTTGTATGTTCAAGTATTTAAATATGTGGATTTTGCCTTTTATACATATCTAAACAATGTAACATATAAACGCAACCAAATTACTACTCATCTGAAATATATTTATCCCTTTTGTTTAAAATCACAATCAGTTTTTTACTTATCAGATAAAAGCCATTTCTATTAAGTTCATACAGTAATAAAAACTAATTATAACAAAGCATACTATTTGGTTTTTGTTTTCTAGTCGTTAATAAGTCTCAGTAATGTAAAAAGTAATTCATGATTGCAAAAAGGTTAGCATGCCAGGCAAACTTATCACACTGATTAGTTAGGCAAATTATACTGGCAACTTCTGTTTTTAGGAATCCAACAATCATGTACAATTATGTTTTTTTTTCTCTTTTTCTTTTTCCTTGAAGTTCCATTGATATACAATCTTATACTGGTTTCAAATATACAACACAGTGGTTTAACAGTGCCCATATTATTAAATTTTCACCCCCTTTTAGTGTAGTTACTATTTATCAACATAGAAAGATGTTATAGAATCACTGACTATATTTTCCATATCACACTACCATCCCCATGACCAACTTATATTGTGATTGCAAAGTATTGTGCCCCTTTATCCCCTCACCCCAACCCTTCTGCCTTAATAACCACTAGTCACTTCCCAGTGTCTGAGTCTACTGTTGTTTTGTTCATTCTGTTTTGTTTTGTTTTTATAGTCCACAAATAAGTGAAATCAGCAATTGTTTTCAATCCTACTTTCTATAAGACAGAAAAGAAATTATTAAATATTAAAGTTATATGTATTTCTGTTTATGCCATAATCTTTAGGATTGTAAGATGCTTCTACAGTTATTAAGTTTACTTATCAAGCTTTATAGTTATATAAGACTATCAGCTGAAGAGTAAAAAAGCTATAGTGAAAAATATAGGCTGGTAAAAATTTTTTAGATCATAGGATCTTTAGAAACTAGATGAAAAGCCACCCTGTGACTACTTTATTATTATAGAGTCTCATGTCAGTCACTGATAAACAAATGACCACCTAACTTAATTATATGATACATGAGGAATTTACCTATGATTTTACAAAATAGGAAGGTACAAAAGCAATGGCCAGAAGAAATGCACTGAAAATCTTTAGTTTTGAACTCTGAGTATTTTTGTCTCTAGCATTTATATTATCTACACTCAGGTTTTAATAGAAAGAAATTAACTCAAATTTATTAGAAAAAACTTTAAGGAAGACTCCCTCAACTTAAAAAAAGTAAATTTAGTAAAAGGAAAAACACTTCTGGAAATATTACCTATTTTCCATCCCACTGACTCAAGGTTTCTAAAGAATACATATGTGAATTTGTTCTAAAATAATTTAATTTCCAACAAAAAGATAAATGCATGAAACTTAAGTTTCAAATTTCATCCTTTGTCAAAAAGTTCATAACATACTCCAGATCCACTAGTTTACCTGTGCAGGAGGAGACTGCAGTGGATTGTTATCTAGGATGATCATCTGCAGGTGCCTGAGGTTCCGGTAACAAACTGGGATTGTTGTAATTTTATTGCAGGACAAGTCTAACCGTATCAAAGGCAACTCTGCTAGTTCTGCGGGGAGGTAAGATGGAAATCAACAATTAATGATATTTCAAAACTAGATAATTTTTATAAGAAGTTCTGGTTAAATACAGTTATTTAACATAAGTATTTCCCTCCACTCTTTCTTAGTGATTCACTGATACAGCAATGTGGTGTAAAATAAAATGTGGTTGCTTACAGATAGGAAAACTAGTGAAAAGCAAGCTGTTTGACTACTTATAGAATGACAGAGTTTCAGAAACTAGAGGCCTGATACCACAGGAAGGTGGGGATAACAAAGGGATGAGATGATAGTCTGTACAGGGAACAAGTTCAACTCCTAGATTCCTGCCCTCTGCTCCTGCAGCCAGAGCACCACCCACTCCAACCCCCATGGGAGTCAAGAGGTTATTCTCCAGTGAAACTGAATCAAAAGGCTTTGAACTCAGGGATCTGAGGCCAAATGGCAAATCAGGATGAGATGTCAGTTTAAAATGGGACATAAGTGAAATTCTACATGGCAAGACATTAGCACTTTCCCACCCAAACCCACAGCAGCCTCAGCTCTTAAAAAGCCAGGACGGTTATTTCCCCATTATCTGAGGAGACAGAGTGTAAGACTCCAGCAGATGCCCAAAACTGCAGATAGTATGCAACTGTGCGCGCACGCACACACACACACACACACACACACTCTTCCCTATGATGAAGTTTAATTTATAAATTAGGCACAGTAAGAGATTAACAATAACTCATGATAAAATACAACTGTAACAATATACTGTATTAAACGTTAGGTGAATGTAGTTTCTCTCTAAATATACCTTATACTCTATTCACCCTTTGTTTCTGTGATAATGTGAGATGACAAAATGTCTGTGATGAGTTGAAGTGAGGTGAATGATGTAGGCATTGTGACGTAGTGCTAGCTACTGATGACTTTCTGCTAAGTCAGGAGGATCATAGTTAACTGCAGGTAAATGAAACCCCGGGTAAGGGGGCACTACTGCAGTTAGGAATTTACACAATAAGGTAGAAGAAATTAAACATCTTTCTCTGGAGAAACTATACAGTCTTACATAAAAGGCCTTTACTGATATGGAGTTCCCCCAGTAAGGTACCCAGCTTGCTGCTCAATAAGCATTATACAATTTCTTCCCACTATATTTGGAACTTCTCATCAGCTCTGTACAGACTATATCTGATCCAAAGACATTTAGAAAAGCATCCAACATGTAAGATGGAAATCAAAACACACAAACCAATTGAAAAAAGGAACTCAGAAGAAACAGGTAATCTACAGAAACAGAAGACAACTTTGAAAAACTAAAACTAGTATCTCCAATTTCTGAGAAAATACTGAATTACTGAAACAAGGAAGGCATTTTTTTTAAAAAAAGATCACAGAATAATGGGGTTCTTAGAAATGAAAAATATGACAAAATTAAAAATTCAGAAGAATGGTTAGAACATAAATAGTTGAAACTGTTTACCACCAGGTAAAACAAAGGGACAAAGAAATGACAATAAAATAAGAAAAATCACAGAGGGATCCAATATCCAACTCATAAAAATTCTAGAAAGAGAGAACACAGAAACCAGAAGTCAGGACGGTATCAAAAAGAGAAATAAGACAATTTCCCAGATATCCAACTCATAAAAATTCTAGAAAGAGAGAACACAGAAACCAGAAGTCAGGACGGTATCAAAAAGAGAAATAAGACAATTTCCCAGAATGACAAATGTGGCTCTGGTTTGGAAAGAGGCCCACCAAGGTACCAGTATATTGAAGTAAAACAACTCATACTATGACACATCATAACATTTCAGAGCAGTAGTAAAAAAGGGAAGATCATAAAATCTTCCAGAGAGAAAAAAATTGGTCACAAACAATGGACTCGAATTAGATATGGCATCAAATTTTCAACAAAAATCCCTTTCTTGTTTCGGTAATTTCAGTATCTTATCTCTCTGAAATTGTAGATATTAATTCTAGTTTTTCAATGTTTTCTTCTGTTTCTATAGATGACTGTTTGAGTTCCTTTTTCAACTGGTTTGTGTTTTGAATTTCATCTTACATGTTAAAGGCTTTTCTAAATGTCTGTGTAACATATACGGTCTGTATAGAGCTGATTAACATTACAAAACAAATTTTCATCAAATTTTAATATTGAAAGCAAAATTACTGTGGAAAAAAGACTTAAAAACTCAGAAGAGACCATAATTTTCAATGTAGAATCTATAACCAAATGAATTATTAATCAAGGGTGAGCACAGAATGAAGAGACTTCTTTTCAAGTGGAGTCTCAAAAAAGTATTTTCCCACGATATGTTCTCAGGAACTACTAGAAGATGCCCTCTGGCAAAACAGTAAAAAAAGATGATTTATCAATTATACCTCAATAAAGCAGAAACCTAAAAAAAAAAAAAAGTAAGAAAGAGGAAGACAAGGAGTTCAGGAAAGAGTTCAACACAGAAGATAAAACTATTGTCACCTGAAACTCCGAATTTTCATTTTCACCAAAACCCTTAATGTTTTCATTAATTGATTTCATTTTTCAGTAGTATTACATTAGAAAGCCATTAAAAATCTATCACCATAGGTAGTCCTGTGTAGAGGGGTATTTCTACATAGACATTTTGGGTTATAGGGACCTCCATCATAATTTTGGTCAGTTCTGCTGAGGGCCTTCATTTACATTCCTGAGGTGGCAGAAAGCAGAACCAGGAAGGGATGAGGAAGGCTCTGAAGATAAAAGGTGTAAAGGTTACTGGACAAGACTACTGGGAGCAAAGATATGCAGGATTTGGAGTAGTGTGCTTGCCATAAGTGTATAAAAGTAGACTGGAAAAGTCACTTTCTGAGATGCTTAGTTGGGATCCAAACTGTCAAAGCTACTCTAGTATTAAGAACTAAAAATCATACTGGATCAAACTGGTATAAACATTTGAATTCTACAGTGAAGCAAAAGTATCATTACATAATTCAATATTTATTATACACTGTAAGTCATATTTAATAGAAGAAACTAGAGAATTACTGTCAGGAAAACACCTGAAGATTCCTTATCTTTTAGATATACATGATCTAGACAATATACATTATTGTTATTTAGATATAGATATATGTTCTGAAATGTTTACAGATGAATTTCTGGTTGCTTCAAGTTAATGTAGAGGACAGAGTGAAGGAAAGTGGATGGGAATACAGATAAAACAAAGTTGCCATGAGCAGGTGACAGTGTAGCTGGATGATTCATTGCTCTCATTTATATTGAAATTTTCCATAATAAAATTAAAAACATTTAGATACTGATCTAATAAAAGAATGGTTCTCCCCCCTTTTGCTTCCTTTTATAGCTTCGTTTTTTATGAATTTGTATTTCTGAGATTGATAAATTATACTTAATATTTTAGCAAATACATATACCAGAGCTTATAGGCAGCCTAAAGTAACCAGCTTTCTAATGCATTCTCTCACTCCATTTCATGATTCACTCTACATACTACTTCCACACAGCTAATTACTCTCTGTATGAACATTTCCAGTGAGGGATATATAGTAATTAAGTTCAAGTCAAGTCCATTTTTAAGTCAGTCCTAATTACAGGAATGTTTTTCTTTATACTAAAGTATCCCCTTATCAAAAACATGTTACATTTCTCCCAAACAGTTATGCTTACTGAAACTTCCAGTGACCCAACCTTGAGTTATCAGTTATATTAGTTGACAAGATCTAAATATACATTTATTGTCAATAGTTACTGGAGCTTTTCACTTAAGACTCTAACTTTTATATTGCGCAATGTAAGAGATAACATACATTAAATAAACTATTACATCTTAAACACTGGATCTAATTCTTATACATTTTTGTATTGTGCTTATCAATATGAGAGATCTTTAAATGAAAAGATAAATACTAACAAAGTAATTATTTCACAGCTTCTTACCTTCAGGTAAACGTACTAAGTGATTTCTTCTTACGTTAAGGTCTCTCAAGGCCTCCAAGTTACCAACTTGAGAAGGTATTGTTTGAATTTCATTGCAGCTCACATCCTATTTCAAAAAGATACAAAAAAAATAGATGTTCTAATATTACAAACTTGTCTGCTTCTTTAAACTATCTGTAAAATGACGGTGGACAACATAATACAAAGGGTCTCTCATATTGTAAAAAAAATATGATTACGTGTCCAAGAATAATTCCATAGTCTGTGCTAGCTTTTAATTTAAAAAACAGACTTTGCCTGATGTTATACATTTTATATAGATATACATTAATTTTGTGAGAATTAAAATTACACCTTAATTTTAAGATGGGGATAGGAGGCCCAGTATCAGATCAAATGAAAAAAATGTTGGTGGAAAGATAAAACAAGAAAAACACAAAAACAGATCATTTAAAAAAAATACTTTTATTTTATATTGTTCTAAGGAAATTAGAAGAAAAAACACAATGATAAAAATTATTGACAAAATTACTTGAAAGGAAATCCTGTTTTCAAAATACTAGTTCAAACTGTTCAAGAATATAAATAAAAATGCACTGAAGATGATCAAACCAATTTTTTTAAAATTAAGGTATCATTGGTATACAATCTTATGAAAGTTTCACATGAGCAACACTATGATTTCAACATTCACCCTTATTATCAAATCTCCCCCACCCAACTGCAATCACTGTTCACCAGCATAGTAAGATGCTATAGAGTCATTACTGGTTTTCTCCGTCCAATGCTGCCTTCCCCATGACTTACCTATATTGTGTGTGTTAATTATAACGACCTCCCTCTCCACCTGCCTCCCCAACCCTTTGCCCCTTTGGTAACCACTAGTACCTTCCCAGAGTCTTCAAGAGTCTGCTGCTGTTTTGTTCCTTCAGTTTTGCTTTGTTGTTATACTCCACAAATGAGTGAAATCATTTGGTACTTGTCTTTCTCCACCTGGCTTATTTCACTGAGCATAGTACACCCTCTAGATCCATCCATGCTGTTGCAAATGCTGGATTTGTTTTCTTCTTATGGCTGAATAATATTCCATTGTGTATATGTACCACATCTTTATCCATTCATCTACTGATGGACACTTAGGCTGCTTCCACATCTTGGCTACAATAAACATAGGAGTGCATATGTCTTTTTGAATCAAGGATCTTTTCTTCAGGTAAATTCCTAGGAGTGGAATTCCTGGGTCAAATGGTATTTCTATTTTTGGTTTTTTGAGGAACCTCCATATTGCTTTCCACAATGGTTGAACTAATCTACATTCTCACCAACAGTGTAGGAGGGTTCCCCTTTCTCCACATCCTCACCAGCATTTTTTGTTTCTTGTCTTTTGGATGTTGGCCATCCTAACTGGTCTGATATCTCATTGTTTTAATTTGCATTTCCCTGTTGATTAACGATGTGGAGCATCTTTTCATGTGCCTGTTGGCCATCTGAATTTCTTCTTTGGAGAATGTTTGTCCAGATCCTCTGACCATTTTTTACTCAGGTTATTTGTTTTTTGTTTGTTGAGGTATGTGAGTTCTTTATGTATCAAATGATTTTTTATCAAACTGAACATGAGGGGAAAAAATAGGAAAGTACCCATAATGCAAAAGGTATGGAAAAAAATAGATACTGTTCTATTTGTATGGGATCAACCTGATGTCAATGCATATATAAGGTAGGCCTTATGGCATCCTGGTTAATAGCTGATACCACTGGTTCTGAAAATAGACTGACTACAGGTTCCAAGATGGATAAATTAAGAATTCCCTAATTCTGAGACTAGCCAGAATAATTTGTTAACCCATGTGTAGTAGTGGGAAACTGACTAGGTTAATAAAAGCTCCAAAATGCTACAATAACACTTAAAATCCCTCCAATACTTAAGTAAAATAGAAAATACTATAGATTCAATATTAGAAAAGACCACTTACCAAAAACTTCAATAAACTTCAGACATTATTTTTTAATTTACCCAAAATATTCTTAGAGAAAATAATATTTTTTACTTTTCCTACCAATTAATGACTGAAGTAGAATCAGAAGCTAGACTTCTTAGTCTGATACTCTAGGCATCAATGTTAAAAGGAAAAGAAGTTGAAAGGATGGGAAAATAAAGCCTGAGCCAGAAGGTAATAGCAATTTGTAATATTTATCTCCAAAAATGTGTATGTTGAAAGACATTATTTTACCCTCACTTAAAAATGAAGGATAAAGATGAAAAGCAGCAGTAAGGAGGTTGCAGAAAGACCTCAAGTGGGAAATTAGGAACTTCTGGATTACTAATTCTTACTCTGCTACAAGTTATTTGTATGATTGAAGATATTAACTCATACGTTTTGTAGAAAGACGAAAAGTGCCTTCTGCGAGGCATATCTACTTTTAAGTATTTGGGATTCAATAATTGGAAACAGAAAGTTTAAAATCTGATTTGAAAATCAGAATTTGAATCCTAAGTACAATTTACTACTAGTTAATGTTATTAACCAGGTTCTGTAGAAAAGCCAAGAAACTACATTTTAGACTCCATTTCCTAGATCTAAACAGTATCTAGACTCCAGATTTATTAAATATATTTTAAATATATTTATTAGGTAATATAAAAGTGATAAATATACTTTCTAATGAGTCTGTTATATTTGTGAACTTTTACATTTCTTTATATTCATAGTCCACCTGAAAAAGTGAGTTAATAACTGGTCCAACTAGATTATATGTATTTATTTTTTGTTTATGCCCACCTTTGTTAATAAACCTACATGCAACTACCTTCCCAAATCTGAAGGGACATAACTGTATTTGACCATTTTAGAAATATGAAACATGGGCACTGGAGCTAAGGTAGACTGGTTTCAAGTTGTTTTGGTTATGGAATCTTGGGCAAATTACTTAACCTATCTGAGTGCTAGGTTTCTCAGCTATAATATGATGATAATTATAGTATCCAATGCATAATCTTACTGTGGTGATTCAATGAGAGAAGTGTTAGTCTCACACCCAGAAATAAATTCTCAAGAGTAACAAGGAGTGGTAGGTGAGGGTTAAGCTTAGAAAATATAATAAGGCAGTAGTTATCTTACTACACTGATGGACAGTGTCTGCAATGGGGTATGAGGTAGGGGAACTCGATAATAAGGGTGAATGTAATAACCACATTGTTTTTCTTGTGAAACCTTCATAAGACTGTATATCAATGATACCTTAAAAAAAAAAAAAAGAAGAAAAATATATATCCAGAACACTAAAAAAAAGAAAACATAAGACAGTAAAGAATAGCTTACTTTAGAGCAGGAGATAGGCTCTAAGAAGCAAGTTAGGCCAAAAAATTAGCCTGACCTTTGTAGTGCCCATTTCCCTAAAAGGGCTAACCAAAAATCAGAATACTGATGCTACTAACAAGATTTAACTTGAAAAGTTAAAATTCATTACTAACCTATATCTCAAAAGTTTAGTAACATACAAATCACTTAATATTGAGTAGAAGCTAACTCTAATGACCTTTTCCATTCCATGTGGGCCTTTTAGACTTGTACATTGAGTTCTTTCTTAATTCTGAGAGGAAGCACTTAAGTACTAATCAACCAGTAAAACTTAATTATCAATATTAGAAAATAATTCAAATACAGACCTTAGTAATGGGTCTTTACCACATAAAAGAGTATGGTATCACTATATGGATATACATATATGCAGGACAATCAAAAAATAATAAATTAACTTACAAGTTCTGTTAAATGTCTGAGAAGTCCAATTTCTTCTGGAAGCGAAACCAATTTGTTATTACTAGCAATTAGGACCTTCAATGGTAAATTACACAAGTGTACTGGCAAAGTTGATAGTTGGTTCCGACTAAAGGATAAGTAGGAAAAGAGAAGAATCAGAGCTAACCACTCATTAAAAAAATTTTCCACTTTTCCCATTCTATACTCAGGAAAATAACAAATATAAATCTTGCAAGGATCAAGCGCGGTATTAGATTTGAATTCTAGCCTTCATTTCCTCACTTGTCAGCTTTAATACTTCAGAGACAAATTTAACCATCTGTATCTTATAGATTCCTCATCTTTAAATTGTAGATCTTAATACCTCTTCTACCTATTTTATAGGGCTCTTGCACCATAAAACTCCTTTCTAAATAATCAAGTACCATATAAAGACATATTATTAAAGTTGAATTTATTACAAAAAATGATTTTAAAACAGGTGAGATAACTATCATTCTCTCCTTTTCCTTCCAAGGAAGAGTTATAAACATGAAAGTGTTTAAAATCCATTTCCTTTATTATTACAGTTCCATAATCAAATGTACATAAATGATACAAATATAGTTCTATACAAAACAAGTGACAGGTTGTGATTTCAAATATATTAACTGAAGAACGGGAAAGGGATCTTTTATTTATACAAAAACATGCCAATGAGGGCTAAAAATAAAACATCTATCATTAAGATAAAAATAAGTTAAAATTCTGCTTATGTAGATTTAACCTCTTAATTCTTAGGACCAATTGTTCCCCATCTTCAAGACCTTTTCTGCTGATTTGACTACTATAGATCCGAGCCCATAAAAAAATTTAGTTCAGTAACAATTCAACTCCTAGATCTTTATCTTAAGAGAAAAATATTTATGTACAGAATTCTTTACTAGTACTACTTTTATCGTGGCAAAAAAATGAACTAAAGTAAATAACTTAGAAGGAAAATGAATTTTAAAAGTGTATAAACTGTATAATAAAATGATTACACATAAAAATATTTCCAAAGGACATTTCAAGACAGGGGAAAAGCTCATTTAAAAATCTGACTGAAAGCCTAGAAAAAAAGGACAAGATTGGGGGCGGAGCCAACATGGCGGCGTGAGTAGAGCAGCATAAGTCTCCTCCCAAAACCACAAATATCTATGAAAATATAACAAAGACAACTCTTCCTAAAATAGAGACCAGAGGACACAGGACAACATCCAGACCACATCCACACCTGCGAGAAGGCAGCGCCTCGCGAAGGGGGTAAGATACAAGCCCGAGCCCCGCGGAACCCGAGGACCCCTCTCCCCAGCTCGCAGAGGGAGGAGAGGAGTCAGCAGGGAGGGAGAAGGAGCCTAGGACTGCTGAACACCCAGCCCCAGCCATCCGGACCAGAGCACAGACACAGTGCATGCGTGGGGTCCTGGATACTAGGGAAACAGGGCGACAGGACCGGTGAGGGGGTGCCTGAGGCTGACACCGGAGAACAAAGAAACGGGACAGGCCAATTTTTTTCCTTTTTTTTTTCGTTGGCGAGTGCTTTTTGGAAGACTTAAAAGAACAGACACCACAATACTAGGGAAACAGGGCAGCAAGACCGGTGAGCAGGTGCCTGAGACCAGCACCTGAGGACAAAGAAAATCGTGTGTTTTTCTTTTAATGATTTAATTAATAAATTATTTATTTATTTATTTTTGCTCTTGTTTTGGTTTCGAGAGTGCTTTTTGGAAGTCTTAAAGGGGCAGGGCAGGACACTTAGTCCAGAGGCAGGGAATCTGGGGATCTCTGGGCACTCTAACCCCCTGGGCAGCAGGAGGCACAGAGGCCCATTACGGAGATAAATAGCTTCCCGGCCACTCGCCCTCCAATGGGGCTCCACAATTTTGGAGCAGCAGCCCGAGCCAGGCCACGCCCACAGTAACAGTGGAGATAAATTACATAGTAGCCGGGCAGGAAGCAGAAGCCCTGCCTGCACACAGCTGCCAAGCACAAGCTACTAGACGTCGCTATTCTCCCAGGAGAGGAAGGCCACCAACCAACAAGAAGGAAAGCTCTTCCAGCTGTCACTCGTACCAGCTCTGCAAACTATCTCTATCACCATGAAAAGGCAAAACTACAGGCAGACAAAGATCACAGAGACAACACCTAAGAAGGAGACAGACCTAACCAGTC